ACAGAGCAATAGTACCAAAGAACATGGAGGGTATGCACAGAACAATAGTACCAATGAACATGGAGAGTATACACAGAGTAATAGTACCAAAGAACATGGAGGGTATGCACAGAACAATAGTACCAAAGAACAAATGGACATTCACCCATTTAAGGAGGTGTCTGGCATATCAGTTCTGAAGGAAAAACTTCCAACTGCACAGAATGCATTAGCTAAAAATGAGACTCCAAAATGGATCAAATACCAACTAAAATGTTTCAAAAAGCACTTAGACTTCAGTGCCAGGACATTTGAAAGACTTGGCCAACTGAGTGGAGGAGAGCCATATGTGCATCCACTCCAAGGAGAAGTGACCCAACAAAATGCTCAAACTATAGAACAATATCATTAATATCTTACACAAATAACATTTATCTGAAGCTCATTCAACAGCAATTGCAGCAGTACACTGACAGGGAAATGTCCGAGGTTCAGGTTGGATCCAGAGAGGACATGGAACACAGGTCGTCTTTGGTAATGCCAGATGGATCTGGCTTTGAACAGAGAATACCAGAAATATGCTAACTTGTGTTTTATTAACGATGTAAAGGCATTCCACTGTGTGGATCATAACAGATTATGGTTAACCTTGAAAGAATGGGGATTCCAGAACACTTCATTGTGCTCCTGCAGAACTTGTACATGACCAAGAGGTGGTAGTGCAAACAGAACAACAGACTACTTCAGGCTTTAAAATACAGAAAAGTGGGCATCAGTATACTTGTTCAATCTGTCTGCTGAGCAAATAGTCAGGGAAACTAGCTGATTGGAAGAAGAATGTGGCATCAGCAATGGAGGAAGACTTATTAAACACCCGAGATACGCAGATGGCCCAAAGTTGGTAGCTCCAAGTGAGAAGGACCTGAAGCACTTGTTGAAGTTCAAAGATTATAGCCCGAAGTATGGATTATCAAAGACTAAAATCCTATTATCATGGATAACATGATAATAAAAGATAATAAAAGGAGAAAAAAATGTATAAATTGTCAGGGAATTTTTTTGGATTTTGCTTGGATCCACAGTCTATTCTAATGAAGATCAAAAGAAACATTGCATTTGGTAAATCTGCTGCATAAAAATACATTTTAGAGTATTGAAAAGCAAGAATGTTATTTTTAGGATTAAGGGGCACCTGACCCAAGCCATATTATTTTCCATTGCCTCGTATGCATGTGAAAATTGGACACTGAATAAGTAAGACAAAGAAGAAATTATACATTTAAATTGTGGTGCTGGAGAATACTGAAAATATCAAGGATTGCGATAAGGACAAAGTGGCCTATGTGGGATACAGTGCAGCCAGAGAGCTCTTAGAGGCAAAGATGGCAAGACTTTGTCTTACATACTTTGGACATGTCATCAGGAGAGACAGTCCCTGGAGAAGAACATCATATTGGCAAGGTGGAGGGGCAGTGAAAGACAGGGTGGTCCTCATGGAGATGGATTGTCAGTGGCTGCACCAATGGGCTTCGGCATAGGAACAATTGTGAGGATGGCACAGGACAAGGCAATGCTTTGTTGTATTGTGTGTAGGGTTGTTAAGGGTCAGAACTGACTCAATGGCACTGAACAACAACAGCGAGTCATTTACTTACTGAATAAATGTCTGTGTTAGTCCAGGTAGACTAGAGAAACACATCCAAGAGTTTTATATACAAGAGCAGTTGAATATAGAGAAACTATCCCAGCCCAGTCCAGATCACGTCCATAAATCCAATAATAGCCCATATGTCCGATACCAACCAATAAAGTCCTCTTCAGACTCATAAAATACGGGCAATGACTGAATGCAGGAAGATCACAGGCCAGTGACTTGGAAGTCTTGTAGATCCAGTGGCATTGGAAGCATCTCAGCACTGGCAAGGGTCTCTACGGAGCTTCTCCAAGTCCAGGGCTCTGGCTGCATCAGGGTAGGTCCGTGTGGCTGTTCCTCAGGGATGCCCCACAGGGAGTGAGTCTTGAATCTTGTCAGTAGAGAGTCTCCAAGGAAGTGAGCAGAGTGAGTGTCTTCCCCCTCCAAGGAGGAAATAGAGGAGTTCCCAGAATTCTCAGGAGAAAGCCATGCCTATACAGAGGCCTCACTGGCTATGATCTGATTGACAGACTAGACTCCACCCCTTCACTCTTATTCCTCTCAG